AGTGATCATCTTTTTTTTCTTTAAATAAAAAATAAAGAAATACATTTTGAAAATAACAATAAAAAAGGCAACTGTTATGTTTTTTCAATAGGAAATTAGAAAATAATAATTAATAAATAAATGACAAAATAAATAAATACTACTGGTTTGGGCCTGAAACTCACCGGTGTTGTGGTTCGGTTCCAGGACTGCGCCCCGTACGATAAAGGAGCCTTCCGGATCGAGATCATCTTCCCGGCGGAGTACCCCTTCAAGCCCCCCAAGATCACCTTCAAGACAAAGATCTACCACCCCAACATCGATGAGAAGGGCCAGGTCTGCCTGCCCATCATCAGCGTGGAGAACTGGAAGCCCGCCACCAGAACCTGCCAAGGTGAGAGTCCTGTGTTAAAGTTTAGAGTTATTGTTATTTATCTACTTCCTTAGCTGTCAGACTCATGTTGAACAGGGATTTACTTAATGGTTTGGACACAGACCTGTGGGTTACAGATGCTAATGCTAATGCTAGTGTGGGATCCTATGCCTATCAGAGCATGTGTTAAAGTCTAAAGTTATTTATCTACTTATTTAGTTGTCAGACTCATGTTGAACAGGGATTTACTCTGATAACAACTTAATGGTTAGGACACAGACCTGTGGGTTACAGATGCTAATGCTAATGCTAATGCTTGTGTGGGATCGGACTTAAAAACTCATTTTAATAACTAGACTTTGTCCTGGTTCAGGTAGTTTTTCTTAATAAAGGCTCTGTGGGTTTATCTTTAGATTGAAAATGTTTGTTTATATATTTGATGAAATGTTTTAGTTATTTGGTTCTGAGGGTCCAAATGACTTATTTACAGCATTTTAACTATAGAACAAGAATGTGATTGTTGTAAAGTGTCTAAAAGCATTTTCCTTTAGATTTCAAACACTAGTGTCTGATAGCGTTGCTAGGGCTTTTTCCCCTTCTGATCCGATACCAATCCCGGCCTATCAGAGCATGTATTAAAGTTTCAAGTTATTTATCTACTTACTTAGTTGTCAGACTCATGTTGAGCAGGGCTTATTGATGTTTATATATTTTTGTTAATTTTAATAGGATTATATGAGAATATGGTAGTTTTATTGTACTTTTACCTGAATGCTTTTATATTATTTTTGTAAAATAGAAGACATTCTCACATTTTATTGCACTTTATTTTATTTATTACATTTTAT